CACTTTAAAAATAGTCTTAGTATACCCATTTGCATTTCTTGCTAACAAAACATGACATTAATCCATTCAAACAATTTTTTAAATTAAGTAGACTAAGGAGTATTAACTCTCCCTTTTCTTTATAATTTTTAAGTAAACTCACAAGCCTAGTTAGAAAACCCAAACTTTTCCCTTTAAACAGTTCCATTTATAACACAAAACCAGTTCCATAAGTCATTCCATTTTTACATAAACATTTCCACAAAACAATTGCATTTTAAACACAGAACAATACATGAATCACCAGCATATATGCATACACAAAACTGCATCTTGAGTCAAGGTAGAAACAATAAATTTCTTCATTTAAACAGTTCCATTTTTAACCTAATTCCAGAAAACAGTTCCTAGGTCATTACTATAAATAAACTCAAAATTGTCCCATTGCAATGAAATCTCTGTTGTTCATTTCATCTCTTAAGTCCCAAAATTCAAATGATAAATTCTGGTACTAGCCTTCCAAATATGAAGAAATCCATAACTAAAATCTTTTTGTAGTTTTATCTCATTTTTTTTTTTTGGTTTTTCGAGACAGGGTTTCTCTGTGTAGCTTTGCACCTTTCCTGGAACTCACTTGGTAGTCCAGGCTGGCCTCGAACTCACAGAGATCCGCCTGGCTCTGCCTCCCGAGTGCTGGGATTAAAGGCGTGCGCCACCACCGCCCGGCATTTTATCTCATTTTAAGTTCAAAAAGTTCAAACAAGAAATAAATTCTGGTATCAGGCTTTCACTTCCAAATATGAAGAGACGTTTTACAACTAAAACTTTTTGCAGTTAACAATTTTAGTTCAAACAAGCGTCTCTACAACTTTTGCTCACACAGACAGAGATCTATTTAGGTACAGTAGTATTCTAAACCGCACCATTTTTGAAGTTAGCTCAGGTTTTTCTGTGTTGCATTGATTTTCCACAGATCTCAGCTCCAGATGTGCTGGTTATGGCGTCTGCCATTCTTAGCTTCTTAGTGGCTTATGGAACTTTTGAAACCATTCAGACTGCCTACTTTGCAGTCTACTATCTTCTGTGTCTCAGATTCTTTTATCATATACATTAAGCATAGATTCACACTCAATATTTACACTTTCACAAACTCACATAAAACATGTGCTTAAGCATAAACTCACACTCAACATTTACACATTTTTACAAACTCACATATAACATATTAACATCTACTTATTTATACTTTTTAAGGAAACTATAGAACTACTTTAGCAAATATATTTCTTATTACTTCTTATATTCATTCCATCTTATTTAAACTTACATTTACAACTAGCATCTTACAAGCTTATTACTACATGTCTTAAGATTACCTTAGATACTTCTTGCAAGCTTATATTCTTAAAGGAACTCTATAGGTCTATTTTACAAACTTATATAGGGCTACCATTAGCATATATCTAATTTAGCAAACACCCAAAGATTTCTTAACACAGAGATCTAACAAGAGAATAATTTCTACAACTCACATATCTTATTTTCATCTTTTTCTACTTCTTACTCTTAATTATTTTCACTATCTCTATTAAAAGATTCTCTTAACTAGACAGGAAGTATGTACATCATTTCTAAAGTTTAGAGTTTATAGTAAGCTTTGCTATACAACACTGGGATTTAGTGAGTGTTGTCATTATAGAGTTGTGATACTTGTTGCTAGGAGACTGTAACATTCTTGGGAAGAAGCCACACCCCAAAGTTGCCAGTTCTCTTAGCCCTTCCGGAACCGGCAGAGATGCACTGTCAGCGGTAAACGGGTTTTAGCTAGAGGCTGTCCCTTTACCCAAATTCATAATAGTTCCCCTAAGTGCTTCAATTCAGACAAACATTTCTATTACAGCAGTACTTTTGGTTTGTTCTACCAGAAAACTTCACTTCATGCTGAGAGTGAAATTACCATATTTAGCTGCTGTAAAGCTCTTTGTCAAAGACTGCACAGCTATTAGGTGGTTTAAAGTATTTTTCTAAAGGAGCTAGTAGAGCCAAAAGCAGCACAGCTCCAAACTCTATTTCCTCACTGTTTGCATTAACCAGTGACAAAACCTCAGCAACATTAATTGAGCCACTTTCATTCTGGTTCCTTTATAGGAACGTCATTGGAGCTGACCCTTCCTTAGTTCCACGCTCCTTACCAGACGCTCCAGTAATCACCGAGCTTCATTCTCCTCTTGTGAAAACACACAAACATGTCCTTGACCCCATATTAGAACAGGATCAGGACCCTTCCATAATCCCGAGGAGGGATCTTTCCATTTCACTTGAGCAAAAGTTGCTTGGGTGCCACTGTGCCAAAATCTGATTCTGACTATGCTCTCCCACACCACTACAATAAACTTTCTCCTCCACCATACTTAGGAGCAGTCATGTCCTTTTCTTATTTCTTTTCCTCATTCAAGCACACCCAATGATACAGTTCAAAATTATGAAGTTTGCTCCATTAGTTCATATACCATGAAATTAGGCATTCATTTAAGCATTCACTAAAGGATCAGGAGAATAGACTGCGTTTCAGTCAGATCCTGTGAAAGGACAAGTCCCAAAGTTCCATGGCTGGCCTGGAAGTCTAAAGGTCTAGACACGATTAGGTCTTTGTGGCCAAGATGTGTCCAGCAGAAAATTCTCTCTCTCCCGCTTATAAAATCTCTTTGACAGGGACTTTATTGCCAGAGTCCAGCTCTGTCGAGGTTCAGGCCCAAAAGTGGAGGTGTGGAGTTGGTGAGGGAAGCAGACTGATAGGATCTGAGGCTGAATCTTAACAGCTGCTGTTTATTTCATTAGTAACTGTGCAGAATTACTAGAGTGATGCAGAGTGGAGCAAACCTTTAATCTTAGCACTCTACAGCAGAGGCAAACTTTTCTTTATGAATTTTAGGCTAGTCTGGTCAGCAGATCAAGTTCTTGTCCAGTCAGGGCTGCAGAGTGAGACCCTGGTAAAGAAAATGAAACAATAGAAGCATGATGTAAAAATAAGTATTCTTAATTTGCTTTACTTATTTTCACTAATGATGCAGAAGTCAGAGAAAACAAATCTGTAGACTGTAACACGAATCTTCAAAGGTCTTATTAATAAAAACAAAGCCAGAGCTAAGTATTGGGGTGAACGCTGAATGATCAGAGAAACAGAACAAGCCCCATCCAACCTCACCTTGCCAATTCCTGAGCTGATCTTGTTTCATCAGACTGAAAGCTTCTGAGTCCTCATGCGAATGGATCTCAGCTGAACTGCTGCTGAAAGCTAAATGTTTAAAAAAGACTCTAGTTCCTGGTCTTCATGCCTTATATACCTTTCTGCTTCCTGCCATCACTTCCTGGGATTAAAGGCATGTGTCACCATGCCTGGCTCTATCCAGTATGGCTTTGAACTCACAGAGATCTGGATGGATCTCTGCCTCTGGAAGGCTAGGAGCAAAGGGGTTTGTGTGTGCTCTCATTTTCTGGCCTCTATGTCTATCTAGTGGCTGTTCCGTTGTTATGCCCAGATTGTGACCCCAAAGAGACCACCGAAGACCTTGGATGTCCAGAATGCAACAGCAAGGTTTATTGTAGATACAAGTCTAGACAGGGAACTCATTCCTACACCCAATACAGTGAGGCAGGGAGGAGTTGCTCTTTCTTTGTGTGGCTAGCTTTTGAAAGGCAAAAACCACAAGCCCTTCAGGGGGTTTGGGGGCATTTTTGCATGGGTGTAACTCAGATTGGTTTATTTTTATCTCTGTTCTCTTTTAATTGGGTGAGGGTATGTAACCTTTGAATTTACTGGTTGGTGGTTACAATTATCACTTTGGGGGCAGTCCAGCACAAGTCCCAGGCTTTGTCCTTGAGCCTGGGGGCTGACTGGCCAAGCATGTACTGACTGTGGGGACTGGCTCAGTGGTCCAGGCTCTGTCCTTGAGCTGCCATGGGGACTGGCTGGCCTAGCAAATCATGCACATAACTCTAAGTTGGTGAGGGGCCCCAGACAGTAAACATCTGGCTGAACTTTGAGCAGTCAGAGTACATACAGAAAGAGAACTACTGCAAGGACTATGTCTTTTGTTCATGGCCCTCCCAGAAACTGCTTGCTCAAGTCTCAGGAAACTGAAATTGAGGTCTGATCTCTGAGAGAAGACTGAGCAGCCTGTTATGGCATCTGCTTGGTCCTTGCACTGTTTTCTGACCCCAGATAAGTTTATTAGGGTGCACAATATATTGGGGGACATGATATCACCACAGTAGACTCAAATGGGCAAATATATATATATATATATATATATATATATATATATATATATATATATATATATATATCTGTTTATTTAAATATATAAATTATATTTAATTTAGTCATTAGAGTATTGAGGCTCTCTAGTAAATATAGTTATAAGTAAAAAGCTCAGTCTGATCCCATAGGGTTTACTTCTCTAAATCCTGTATTTACATTGCTAGGCCTTTTCCACAGAATAACAGTTTAAGAGAGTGCATATTAGTGTACAGTTTTTTTAATCACTTTTTTTTTTTACAAAAATGAAAATCATAGCACGTTTTCTACAGCACACCTGAGGTATTGATAGCCCAGAAAGTGGCAGGTTTCCTTTGTCCTTTCTCAGCAAAACCTAATTCCCCAGAAGAGAGTCCCCCTGAGGGCAGGAATAGTTCAGGGAAGACTTTGCAATCCAGCCACAAGTTCTGCATGAATGTCAATCTCTGCAGGACTGGGGCAGTTGTGTGCCTGGTGTGAAAGCTAGGGATGCCAATCCTTGGTCTCCCTCACTTCACAGCACTGTCCCTAAGGGAGCTGTTTAGATCACTTAGGCCTCAGTAGCCAGTCAGGACCTCCAGATGAACTGCCAATCAGAATGGGGAGGGCACTTCCGGTCCGCCCTCCAGGATGGTTTGTGGCTCAGGGCTTAAGTGTGGGTCTCCTGTACTGTGTGCTGGGCTGTGATCACTGCTGCTGGGAGCCATAAGGAGACAGTGTGAGCATGGAATCTGCCATGGTGAGTGAGTGGCGGCCATCCCACGTGGGGAGAAGGCGCGGGAGCCAGTGTGGGTCCCCCCCCCTCGGGGGCTGTGGAAATGGCCTCAGGACACAGTGTCTGGAGTGATTCCCTTTGGTCCTCTGAGGTCCCTGCAACTCCCAAGCAGCAGTAGGACCTCTGAGTGATTTATCGCTGAGGTTGGCGCCTTCACAGAGCATGGGAGAGGGTGAGCCTTTGTGCGGGAATATCCTAGTCACCATGCTTTGCATGATCATGGTGATCATGATGATCATTTTTTTATTTCATTTAGTAAAAACTGTGGGCAGGGAAGGCAGATTTGCTAACTTGCAGAGCCTTGGTCACCCTAGTGTCTTCTAAAAGTTCTGCACTTGTCACTGAATATTCAGGTGTAGGATCAGTCTGCAGCTAATTCTGTGTAGGCGTAGAGTCTGTGTCATTAACACATTTGCATGTAGATGCCAGGGTGGTCCAGTCATTGTTAGTTTTTCGGCTGCGTTGTGTGCTTACCCTGCAAGGAAATGCCACGAAACACGACAGAATCCGCTAACAAGAGTTTTATTAAAGGGACAGAGAGTGAACAGGCCTGCGGGAAACACGTGTGTGGAGAAGAAGGAACCGGGAACATGGCGCCAGATTTTAAAGGCTGGGCGTGGACAGATCAGCGTCACTACTACACGCAAGCGCGCAGACCACATGGCCACGTTGTGCCTTACGTGGCTAGTGGGACGTCATGGATCTTGGTCACGCGAGATGCCCTGACCCGGAAATGGCTATCTGGACCTGGACCTAGCTAGGCGGAAGTGTCCACCAGGCATATGCATACACGCCTGACCATGGGGGCTTATTGTAAATCTTTCAGTCATGAGTGTCAGTAAGGCCAGATTTACTATGATTCCTGGCCTCATGTGGCAAAATTGACTCTATATTTATTGTGTTCTAATTTCTAAGTTTGCTCTCATGTTCTGTTCTCTTTATTCTTTGCCAGACTGCACAATCCCCCCTCCCCCATAGGTTTTCTCTGTGTAGCCCTGGCTGTCCTGGACCTCACTCTGTAGACCAGGATGGCCTCAAACAGCCAAGTGCTTCATTTAACGGTGTGTGCTGCCACCACTGCCCAGTTCATTGCAGTCTTTATTGCATTTTCATTCAAAGTTTGAAGTCAGGTGGTGTCACAGTGTTTATGTACTGTTTATTCAGTCGTGTGTTGATCAATTTTTCATTCATCATGTTATTTTTGTTTCTCATGCAATTTAATTTGTAGCATAAATTGTTCGACTTTAATTGAACTTTTGCTCTATCTGTAGCTCAAATTCTGCATTGTCATTATATAATATTGACATAATAGACACATGGTTGCTTTCTACTCAAGGTTAGACCTGCTCCCTGCTAAGGAAGCCCATCCTCCATTAGGCACAGTTCCCAGTGGGGTCCTCAAGTCTCCATGGTTAAATGGGCACTGTTACACTCTTTCCTAAAAAGACTTTTTAATTTGGTTTGCATTTATGTAGGAGGAGATGGTGCCTGTGTCTCCATGCAGCTAGGGAACAGAGGAAGGAATTCCATGACCCCAACCAGAGACAGCTGAATCCATGGACGAGTTTCCCCAACTGACTGTAACCGTTGAAGCCAGTTGTTGTCATCCAGGTCATTCTCCTTCTCCTCAGTCCCCAACACAAGATGTTGCTTGGCCCCATTTTCTCCCAATTGAGTCTGGTCTGGACTGTGATCAGACAGATTTGTGACTCTCCATGTTTGCTGGACTGAAGTCTTTTGGGTTTAATTTGTTAAAATGTTTAAATCAGTGGTAGTGTTGCTTGCTATTAATCCCGGCACTTGAGATGCAGAGGCAGGCAGATCTGTGAGTGTGAGGCCTGCCTGGTCTACAGAGTGAGTTCCTAGGACAGCTGACTGTTACATAGAGAAACCCCATCTGGAAAAACAAAAACAAAAAGAGTTGCCTTGGTCATAGTGCTTCACAGCAAGGGAAGAGTCAGTAAGACAGGTCATGTAGTATTTTGTTATATTATGTCTGTATTCTCCACATGTCCTGGGAAATCAATTAAGGCCAAATGAAAGAGTAATGTGCTATGGAATATTATCTTAACTGGACAAAGATTTGTTACCTTTGTTTATGATGTGGAATATTGTCTTATGTGAAGATGTTATATTTGTATCTGCTGCATTTGTTTAATGATGTGAGGATGTGTTACATTTGTTTATCCTGCATTTGTTTAATTATGAAGAGATGTGTTGCTGTTTAACTTTGCCTGCCTAGGCATCTGAGTGGTAAATAAAAAGCTGAATGACCAATACCTGGGCTGAAGAGGAATACACAGGGCTGGTGGGCAGAGAGAATAAACAGAAGCAGACAGATATCTATGCTCCAGAAGAAAGAGAGGGAGGAAGAAAGGAGAGAATGAGGAAGAAAGAGAGGGACACACCCAGGGCCAGGAGCCTGGCAGCCGCCAGCCAGACATGGAGAGAGCAGGAAACATATCCAGAAAGAATGAAAGGTACAAAGCCCCGGGGCATAAGGCAGATAAAGAGAAACAGGTTAATTTAAGTTGAAAGAGCTAGCCAAAGACGAACCTAAGGTAGGCCAAGCATTCAAAACTAATAATAAGTCTCTATGCCATGGTGTGGGAAGTTGCTGCTGTCTCCCTTAAAAGCACCTGGTACATTCGGTGTTTCAGTGTGGGGCATGGAATTTCCACAAACATCCTGAGAAAGCTGAAAAAAAAAGGAAAAGAAAACAACAACAACAACAACAAAAAACCCGGATACAGCTCCTTTAAGAGGTTCTGCTGTACATAATAGCATTTAAAGAGCCCTTTTCACCTGTGTACATTCAAACAGTATTGGGACTATCACATAATGTGGGGATCTTTGAAATCAGACTAAATGCATTGTCTATCATGGTTTGACTTGAGCCTGTCATGACCTGTGTCAAAATGTTGAGGGTTGAATGAAAAATGTTCCAGGTAGTGTGCTGAGTTTGAGCATTTGTCTTTGGTCTGAGCCTTCATTGGTGACTTACAATCACAATTGTGACTTAGAGTCACAATTGGTGACTTCTCCTTAGGAGGAGGATCCTTTGTGGAGGAATATAGTCTCACCACATTTTTTTGTTTTGTTGAAAGTGAGCAGCCCCTTCCTTCTCATGTAGGCATGCCATCACCAACATTCGAGACTCCATTCTTAAATAATGTAAGGAAAAGTAGAAGCATTTGCTTTTCCTTGTCAAAATCCATATTTGTTGCCTGATATTTTTATGTTTATATATTTGGCAGATTGAATCAGGTTTTTGTACATGTCAGGCATTTGCTCTTGTGCTGAACTTTACCCCTGTCATGACTTTTGAACTTTGGCATTGGTGTCATTTTTCAGAGCCAGAATGCATTCATTCATGAAATTAATAGTGATCTCCTGAATCACTGAATTGTCGATGTGTAATACTGTCCCTACCTTTGTGTATGGTTTTACACTTTTACATTATTTTCAAATGTGTGATCTTATCTGTTGACCCATCTGTCTATCCATCCCTTTTGGTGTTTGTTTTACCGTTTTAGGATCAGCATTTACTTTACTAATGTTCTTGAGAACTCATTGATCTGTCAGACAGCAACTGAACAAAAATGCTTTGCTTCCTGGGAATGATCAGCCTTACAGTTCAATAGACAAATATAGAACTGGCGTGAATGTTTTACTCTAGGGAGAAATTTGGAGTGAGGCCTGAGTGCTTTCTGGTTTTTTTTTTTTTTTTTTTGGTTAGAGACAGGGTCTCACTGTGTACCTTTGGCTGTCCTGGCAATCTCTACATAGACCAGGCAGGCTCAGAAATCACAAATTTTACCTGTCTCTGACTCCTGAGGTTTGGGATTAGAGTTGTGCACCACCCACCCTTATTGTCTATCCTTTCTTGAAGTTAATAATTTTGATAAAGTTCTGCTGATGTATACTAAATAGTGTTACTCTGTTTGCATGTCTCTCTGTATATATTCCTAGACATTTCTCCTGCTGTGCCGTATTCTATTCTGTAGATACTGGAATGGAAGGTGTCATTCTCTCTTGATGTTTCCTTTCAAAATGAGTTGGTGACTGCATTTGAAATTCTATGACCCATGTCATAGAATACATTGATACAGAATTATGTAAATATATTCTCAATGAAGTGTATATTTACAATGCAGTCAGTCTCACCATTTCTATTATGTACATATATGGGATACTTTAGGATGCAGTGACCTATGGGAATGTGCATGTGAACTTCACTCATGAAGAGTGGGCTTTGCTGGATCCTTCCCAGAAGAGTCTCTACAAAGATGTGATGGTGGAAACCTACTGGAACCTCGCTATTGTAGGTAAGAATATGAGCTTTCTGTCAGTTTTTAACTTAATGGAAGAAGCCCTTCTTGGAGATTGGTGCCCTCCTATAATTTTGAATGTTAAAGAAGAAAAGTTCTGGTGAATATATCAGGCATTGTTCTAAGGTTCATGTAAGACAGTACTTTCAATTGTTCGTAATTTCCAGTAATATATCACATTGTCTGGTGCTGTATTTTAGGGTACAAATGGGAAGACCACAATATTGAAGAACATTATCAAAATTCTTCAAGACATGGCAGGTAATTTTCATGTGCAAGCTGATTTATATGTATGTCTGTGATAAGTACTGGATTCCTGGTTGCTGGGTTCCTCCATCACTGATGCAATAAGACAAATCAAACCAAATTAATAAATCCGGATTTAATAAACAGAGCATAGCAAAGCAGAGCACTCCAGGGGCTCTCAGGATGTCAGGAGACAGAACAGGAGAGCACCCATGGCAGCTCTATGGGCCAGGTCTTAAATAGCCAGTAGGCATGGGCATGGTCCCAGACATCTCTGGGGGAGGAGCCACCAATGGTGGGCTTTCTGGAATGAGGCCACATCAGCTGGAAATTGTAAACATCCCAACTTTATTTTGGGTATATATGGGAGCAGGTTCAAGTCTATCTACTTCCTGCTAGGATGGGACCATGTGCAGAGGGGGGAGTTTTGAGTCAGGTGGACCCATGCTCAGCAGGGGTATGGGTGGAGAAGCATGTGGATAGCAGCCATCCAGGAGACCTCATGCATCTGTTCTTGAGGTGGAGAAGGTGGGTTGCTAGGAGAAAAAAGAATAACTTTTTATCACTGTCCTTATGAACAGGGATAGCCATTGGTAGTAGGAAGACTGCCAGAAAGAATGCAACTGAGAAGTGTCCTGGTTGTACAAAAGAGTCAAGGGTGAATGAGTGAGGCATGAGGGCAGATATGCCCTTAATTGGGACATCTTGGAAAACAAGGTTTCAGTTGCTGGGTAGGTGCCCACTTGTGCCTGGAGAAGTGGTACCAGCAATGAAGTCCCAGGAGCTTGGGGAGATGGCATGCCAAATCTAGGGATGATGTGTTCCAGGAGTACTGGAGCCATGTATCTTCTGTTTTTCTGGAAGTTGGGAGAGCATCCATCCTGTCAATGTGTCAATAAGAGTTAAGAGATATGGAGCCTTTTTATGAGCAGGCATGTGGGTGAAATCCACCTGTTAGTATTTGTCCAGTTGGCGTTCTTTTTGGTGGTTGGCATCCTCAGAGCTGTTGCAGGAGCTGGTGTATCTGCAGGGCCCCCTGTGGGTTTGGCCTTGGCCCTGGCAGGAGGAGTGAACCTACAGAATATGCTCAAAAATGGGTGGGGTCAAAAATAGGCTCTAGACACTGATATTATTTTCCATCAGGCCAGACTTTTTTACAAAGTAGCCAAGCCCTTTTCCCAGGAACCTTCAGGTGTCCATAAAACTACTGGAACAGATTTTCATCTTGGTGTCATACTAAAAAGCTATGGCTTTGGCTTAAAAGGTATGAATATTTTTAAGTCTAAATTCACTGAACAAAGGAGGTTGTGTGATTGCAGAAGGGATTTGAACATGCCTGCAGGGGTCTATATCCTTTCTAGTGCTAACCTAGCTCTAAAAGCTGGACCAATAAAATCCACAGAAATTTAAGGACCCCTGAAGACTATTTTTAATCAATGGTTTATCAGTTTGTCAAAACTGCATATATCAAAGTTAAAACTTTGAACCTCTAAAGTTATATCTGAAACCAGTTTATCCTGTACCATGCAGTATGTGAATGAGGTACACCTGTCTGTATTTTTAACAGGAAATGTACTAATGAGCTACTAAGGTGGTTGTAGGTTTGGGGTTTGGGGTGCTGTTAAAATGGTAAATCTATTAGTACCCTGGTCACCAAACACCATCAGAACTGAGAAGGATAAGTAAATGAGCAGAAGTGAGCCAGCTTTCCAGTTACCCAGGCAGTCCCAAGTCTCTCTATGGTCACTGGGCGACAAGTCCCAGAGGTCGCACTTGTTCAGATACCAAGTGCAGAGGATCTGACAGATTCTTTGTGGAGTAGAAATTTGGGGAGATAGGCCTACCTGTCTTGTTAGAGTGGGACAATTGTTACCCCATTGCTCCACTTCTTCATAGTCTGGACATGATCTCAGCAGCAGTTAAAGGTGTAAAACAGCTTTTCACTGTGTGGCTGGCTTTGTTACTTTTGAGGCAAGCCGCCAGGTGGAAGTTCTTCTGTGGCCATCCATCTTCTTGGAGAAGATGCAGGATGTTTCCAGGAGTTGGCATGTCTCTCATAGAAAGCTTTTATATTGAATGCTATATTCTCAGTTCTCTCAGAGTTTTTGAGAATGGGGGAACAAAATCTGTTTGGTATATCTATACTAGACAAATGTTGTTTAGATTTAACTTTGAGGGCATATGTAAGTTAAGTCTAAATGTACAGTTTACCCAATTAGTTACAGCTTACCGATGTTAGTAAAAGCCAGAAGATTCAGTCTGTAGTTTTCAGTGGTGATCCTAAGATATATCAGGCTATACCAAGTATTAACATTACTAACAATTTATATTTCAATATCAGTGGTCAAAACCAGCATTGTTTTAAATCCTGTTTAATAAACCTTGTTTTTAGGACAGGACAGAAATTATCAAACAGAAATATATCCTAACCCAAATTATATTGGAGACCTAATGTCTCCTTGGTTGGGCCATTCCAAGTGGTTATCCTTATTAAAGATGGTGGTGAAGTATTTCTTTAACCTCAATCAAAATGGTGACTGGTGATGTTCTCTAGAACAGTTTCCATCTGGAGTCACAAACCTACAGATTTTAAAACATACCCATTTAGCAAGACACATTCAGGACACGTAAACTCAGGCATTCAAAACTAGTCAGAAACACACATGTGTGGCCACACCATTCACACAATTCCACCACACATAAAAAGTAAACAGAATCATTAACAGAAACAATTTTTTTTAATGAGGCTCCTAACAGGTCGGGCAGCCTGATACCCAGATCCCAGAGAAGGTGCTGCAGAGGGAAACTGAAAAGCAGAGTAGCAGCACATGCTGTCCAGTTGAGTAAGTCAGAGCAGCAAGATGAGAATATCGGAAAAAGGGATTTTTATGATGGAGGAAGGTGTAGCAGAGTGTATTGAAGGAGAACAGGTTTAAGGGTGGAGTGGGCAGATATAATATTTAGGGGTCAGGAGTAGGAGAACAGGGACCCCCCCTGGGCTGCAGTGAGGTGGTGGCTGTTGTGGTGGCAGTGGTGGTGGTGGAGGTGTTAGTGGAGTTAGTAGATACAGTGGTGGAGGTGTTCCTGGAGGTGAAGGCAGTGGTAGTGGTGGTGGTGGTGGAGATGATGGAGGTGGTGACGGAGGTGGTGGAGGTGGTGGAGGTTGTGGTGGTGGTGGTGGTGTGGTGGTGGTGGTGGCAGCTTCTCTCATAGGAGAGAAGAAGGAGGGAGTGAGCAACAGACAGACAAACAGGCTGGAGACGTTTATGCAGTAGTTCAGGGTATGAGAGCAGACAGGAACAGAGAGAATGGATGTATTTCAGGGAGAATTCCAGTGTTACCAGATCATATTCCAGGAAGGAGAGAGGCAGACAGACAGACAAACAGAACTAGGGAGGGAGAGGAATGGGAGCATTAGAATCACAGTGTGGCCAAACTATACACTGGGAAAAAGATACAGAGAAAGGAATGGGGGCAGTATTCTTGCATCCCCAAATTGGAGGAGACAACCCCAGAGTTTCTGGGGACAGAACTTGGACTTAGCAAGTACTTATTCACAAGCCGTTTGCTGGGGATGTGGTTGTGAGGGCGGGTACACTAATCACATCTAGGAGCTGTGTGTGGGGTGGACTCTGGTGAAGTCTCTCTCACACAGGGAATTCTAAGGGCAGCGACTGTCTCCACCCTGAAACAGGCTGGAGTCACCTGGCACTGCAGTGGCTCAGCAGGCAGTCTGCAGGTTGGAAGAGGTCCTGGACCTTTAAGACATTTGGTTTGGGAATGGGAGGCTTACTGAGCTGTTCATTCAGTGTGGCAAAGGTGGAGTGGGGAGAGAGAGTGAATGGCCTTCCACAGGCACACCTCATGGTTGGGGAATGACTACTCACCCCGGCCATTTCACAAAAGATAAGGATATGATCCCCAGTTGCTGGTTTCATCTGTCAGTGATGCAATAAGCCAAATCAAACTGAGTTAATAAATCCAGATTTAATAACAGGGCAGTGCAAAGCAGAGCACTTCCAGGTGGCTCTCAGGAAAGCAGGAAACAGATGACTAGAGCACCCATGGCAGATGTATGGGCTGGGTCTTAAATAGCTGGTAGGCACAGTTCCAGACATCTCTGGGGGAGGAGCCGTGGATGGCGGGCTTTCTGCAATGGGGCTGCCTGAGCAGGAGATTTCAAACAGTTTGAAAAAATGTTAATGTGCCCTGAACTTTTAATGAGAAGCAACTGTGTAAATAGGCACAGCTTTGTGATGATTATTAAATTGTCACAACACCATGTGCTCCAATGTCAGGTAACTGATCACTGTTTTCAAAGGACAAGACACTGTTAAGGACAAGACAAGGAAATAATGCCATAGTGGATGTCACAGTTTCAATCATAGCCATGTAAGAGGCATGTTGTTGAACTGTGCATCCAATTACCATCATGCCTTCCAATTATCATATGATTGATGAGGGCATTACTGTATGGCCAAGACCTTTTATAAACAAAGCTTTGGTGTTAAAGCTAGTGTTGCTATTATACTTGTAGTGAGTGATTTAGCATAGTTTATTGAGAGGAGCACTGTATGAGAGACCACAGGGTTATCTTGGTGTATAAACATGAACCTCTATTCCACGTCTGTATGACACACAAAATATTCGACTATGGGTATGCAATGTGAATACCCTTTATTTGTTATCTTCATTTAGCAGGTGTGCCATCTGTCACTCTGGATATAATCCATGTGAGCATAAGGGATATGGAAAGAAGCATTGTACTTCTGTCTCTCTGAGAACAACTGGAAGATATGTGGTAGTCCCCACTATGAGAAGACGTGATGACTGTGATACAAGTTTACAATTAATTGGTTTTCCAACATCAGTGGGAATTTATCAAAAAAACTTGCCTTGAGAACAACCTTATGAATGCCAGGAATATGGAAATTCATCTCTCTCTACTGGTTCACTGTGCACGTGTAGTGTGGCTTACAGTATAAGAAAATGTTATGAACACAATCAGTGTGGTCAGACCCTGAGTTGCTCAAGTTCTCTTAAAAGATATGAAAAAGCTCATGTGGGAAGAGAAAATAATAATTATGAGTCATCTAACAAAGAGGCTCTCTATGAATGTATTCAACATGATAAAGCCTTTATATCTGATTGCTCTTTAGAAGTATACCAAAGAACTCATTTGGAAGGAAAACCCTATGAGTATAATCAAAGTTATAAAGCCTTTCCATGTGACAGTCTTCATCATCATGTGCATAGAATTCAAACTCGAGAGAAATGCTATGAATGTAATCAATGTAGTAAAGCCTTTGTACAGATGAGTGATCTTCACAGACATGAAAGAATTCATACTGGAGAGAAACCATATGAATATATTCAATGTAATAAAGCCTTTACAGAGATGAGAAATCTTAACAGTCATAAAAGATTTCATACAAGAGAGAAACCCTATTTATATAATCAATGTAGTAAAGCCTTTACAATAAAGAATAGTCTTCACAGTCATAAAAGAATTCATACTGGAGAGAAACGCTATGAGTGTAATGAATGTGGTAAAGCATTTTCTCAAAAGAGTCATCTTGAAAGTCATGAAAGCATTCATACTGGAGAGAAACCATATGAATGTGATCAATGTGGTAAAGCCTTTGCACAGAAGAGTCGTCTTCAAAGTCATGAAAGAATTCATACTGGAGAGAAACCCTATGATTGTCATCATTGTGGTAAAGCCTTTGCAAGAAAGAGTTTTCTTCTAACCCATGAAAGAATTCATAGTGGAGAGAAACCCTATGAATGTAATCAATGTGGTAAAGCCTTTGCATTGAAGAGTCATCTTCACAATCATGAAAAAATTCATGAAAGAATTCTCATGAGAGAAACCCTATGAATATAATCAATGTGGTAAAGTCTTTGTACAGAAGAGTAGCCTTCTAGGTCATGAAAGAATTCATACTGGAGAGAAAACATATAAATGTAATCAATGTGGTAAAGCCTTTGCACAGAAGAGTACTCTTCAAAGTCATGAAAGAATTCATACTGGAGAAAAACCCTATGAATGTATTCAATGTGATAAAGCCTTTATACAGAAGAGTTATCTTCTCACCCATGAAAGACTTCATAGTGGAGAGAAACCGTATAAATGTGACCAATGTGGTAAAGCCTTTGCATTGAAGAGTATTCTTCACAATTATGAAAGAATTCATACTGGAGAGAAACCCTATGAATGTAATCAATGTGGTAAAGCCTTTGTACAGAAGAATATAGCCTTCTATGTCATGAAAAAATTCATACTGGAGAGAAACCATATAAATGTGACCAATGTTGTAAAGCCTTTGCTCCGAAGGTTAGTCTTCAAAGTCATGAAAGAATTCACACAGGAGAGAAACCCTATGAATGTAATCAATGTGGTAAAGCCTTTGTACAAAAGAGTAGCCTTCTAAGTCATGAAAGAATTCATACTAGCCAGTACCATATGGATGTAATCAATGTGATAATTTCAGATGTGAGCTGCCATGTAGGTGCTGGAAAGTGAATTGTGTGTTCTACATGAGGTACTTGCTGAATTCCATTTTCATATGGCTTCAGGTCCCAAAGAAGAGATCAGGCATCAGTAGAGAAAGGAGACTGCCATGATCTGAACATGAAGCAGTATAGCTGCTGCTTTATTGAAAAACGACTACACATTTTATGCTCTATAACTGAATCTTAGTTTAGACTCAAGCAGGTTAAAAACAGACTTAATGATTCCAGGATAAAAGCAGCCATCAACCTCATTACAGCATTTTTCCTGGGGCAAAATGTGATAAATTCAGCAAGTATCTTCATGCCTTTCTGGATGTGAACCCATTGTTTCCTTTCATAGTTGCTTTCATCCCTGGAACTAGGTGTATCCAGTTAGTAAATCTTTGTTCTCTATTTTTGGTGTAATCAGGGGGACACAATGGGGCTTCATGTGTGGGAGTAGGCATAGTAACCACATTGTGTGGTTCCATGGTGGTGGGGATTTTTTCCAAGAATTTTGTTTAAAGAGACTGCCTTGCCTATGTATATGTTCCCGTCCTCCAGTGTAGCCAGCAAAATAAATTTCCCACAGTAAAAGGCATAAGGAAACTCCATAACATAGTGAGAATTATTAAAATTGAAATAAAAATGATGCTGGAGAATTAAGATCGGCAATGAGGAAATGCTGGAACTTTGTCAAACAGCAATGGTCACTGTGCAGTCCACGCCAGGTGCTAAACTGCTAAACAATTTCTCATCCCTTTTCATTTCTTTTAAGATTCATTTTATTATTATTACCTTTGTGAGTCCACATGTATAGTATAGTTTGAAATCAGATGTCAGCCTGTGTGACCCAGTTCTTCCTTTCTATCATGTCTGTTCTGAGGACCACACCAGGTCCATCCGTCTTGGTTGAAAGCAGCTTTACCTGCTGAGCCATGCCATGATGAACACTGAGCTGTGATTTTTTTTTTGTTAATCGTTGATTTTTATTGTTTGCTTTTTTAAACAGGCTGATGAAGTTCAGTCTGACCTTGAACTTCAGATGTTTCTGTTTCCACCTCCAGTTACTGGGATGACAGGTTTTACTACCATGCCCTGTTTATGCAGAGGTTTTGTGTGTGCTGAGCAAGTATTCTATCCAATGACCAACATCTGTTATGAAAACATTGAGGTAGCTGAGTTTTTCATATACAGGTCTACACTGAGAACCTGCCTCAAAACCAAATCAAAACTGCAAACACAAACTTTTGTTAAAATAAACTGTGTGTGTGTGTGTGTGTGTGTGTGTGTTTTGAGATGGGGTCTATCTCAGTTGCCTAGACTGGCCTAGAACTCACACTGTAGCCCTTGAATCCTGTCCGTTGGCCTCAGCTTCCTAAGTACCTGGAGAACAGGGCTGGAATAGGGAATGAACAAGCCAGAGCACAGAGTGGCCTAACTGTGTGTCCTGGGCCTCACAGGTAGTAGCCAGAGGTGCTTGACAAGATCAAAATGTTTCTAGGGTTGGATTATATACCTGAACCTTGCTTGAAATAGAATGCCAGCATTTCATCATGGAACGATGGTAAGAGGCCCAGGAATTCAATCCTCTTTGGGGTCAAAATGTCCTGAGAGTCTCATGTGGGCTAGGGCCACAAATGCGGTGTGAGGCATTGCTCATAAAGAGAGATATATACTACCAAGACCATGGTCATGGCTTAGTTGCAGCTTCAGTGGCCTCATATAGAGGGTGAGTGAGCATGTCAGGGCCAGAGCTGTGCCCAGGAGTCCCTGGACAAGGACAAGGAGAGTGATGGAAAAGAGGCTTCCTTCTTGCTCACTGGTGGAGCACACTAAGCTGAGATTACACAAAACTGAAAAACCTCCCAGTAGGCACAGTATTGCAGAATCCTTCCACTTCTCACATGGGAAACAAACAGAGAAGGAAGACAATTGTGGCTAGAGCAATTCTGGGTATTGTTTCAACTGGTTATTGTAACTATGGTAACAAGTGTGGTGCACTTACATCTGTCTGAATAATAGGCATACGGAGGTCAAGTCACTCAACAAAGTCGAAAGACAATAAATGGACCATTCATAGGAGTTGAACCCATGTATCCCATGTGTACTCTTATAAAATTTTTAAGTCTCCAAGTATTTATTAATGTAGGGGTGTGGGCATGCATGTGTGGGAATCAGAGGACAACTTACCTGAATCCATTTCCTCCTTCAACTATTTGCTTCCCAGGGATGCTTCTCTGATAGAAGAGGTTTGGCAGCAAATATCATTACCCCCACAATCATCTCTCTAGACCTCAGTTGTATCATTTTGTGTGTATTCTTTGTGTAAATGTGCACGTGTGCAGGTCACAGGTCAAAGTTGGGCATTTCATAAATTGATATTATACTCCAAGTTGACTTTATGGGTTATTGGGCATGGCAAGGCATCTCTAGACTCTAGAATTCCCCAAGATGTGCCAATGGAGACCCTAAGGACAGGGGAGGCATTGTGACTTTCTATCTAGAGCCAAATAGACAAAGTATTTGCTGACCTGAATTTTAGACAGTGGACAGTGCCTGGTTTATTTGTGCTGTGAGTACACAGGGCCTTGAGTCATTAAAAGTTAATCTGTGTTTTTGATTGTGGTAACAAATCACATCCCCTTAAATTCATGGCTGTATTGTCCACATATTGCTTTACTTTTCTTGTTTGTCATTCTGGCCCTATATATTCCACCCCTTTTGTACTTTATTTTACCTGAGATCAAGTTCAAATCCCTAGAAGCTGAATATTTCCCCCGCTGAAGAGGCCAATCTGGATGCCAAGATTTGATGAACATCAAAACATGATCTGTTATCCCATCAAGGGATAACAAAATAATTGTTTGAATTTTTTCCTTCCCAAACATTTAAATGAGGAACATTTTCTGCACCTGGGTTATTCAAACACAGGTTCTGAGTTGGATCAGCTCCTGTCCTGAATCTGGTACCCTGTACTAAGTTCCAGTGAAAAGGTCCCTGGTTGCACCCTGGCTCAGGGTGGCCGCTCATAAAACCCCTTTCCCCTCCAGAATACAGAATTTGCCAAAGAAGCCTTTCTGCTAAAGGAACCTTTGAGGTGCAGCTGGCCAGATATCAGGAGGAGAAGATGAAGAAGAGGAGGAGAAAGCACTGAGAAGCCAAATCACAGACTTGCTGCAGACAATATAGTTATTACTGGCTCTATGGAGCATGGTCAGGTGATGGAACATAGAGAAAACCATCTCTGTACAGAGAGGGATAGCTTGCTGGATCCAGCCTGGTCCAGGTACCTCAGGGACATGTCCCTGCTTTAGCCATCTATGACAATGATTGTGGGTTTTTGATTTATGTTCAGAGGTGTGTGGTTGTGTCTTGCTATAGATGCAGTTGATGCAAGCCCTGGGCTGTTGAGGAGACAGCTCAGGGATTCAGTCTCCATCATTCACCTCTGCAAGATAAAGCCTTAGGGACCACCTTCCTCAGCCTACAGGATGACGACCAGGACTCCTGCACTGGTAAATCAGCCTGGACATTACCAATGGTGATCAGCCAGCCCCATCACACCATGACTCCCTACACTCTCCCTGTGATTCCCATTACTCTGCAACACTTCACATGTTACAACTTCTGATATGCCACCTACATCACAAGTATCCACCAGTGAGTGTAAGCTCACTGTGAAAGGGAAACATAACCAGTATGGAACATGGGGTGATTGCAGGAATGTTGTAAATGGCCTTAGTATATAGTTTTGAGCTTCTGGACCCAAAACTCAGTTATGGCAATAAACATAAGTACAGTGCATTATTTAATAAATCCAGGGAATATTGTGGCTCATGGTAAAGCCCCTGCATAGAATGCCCATCATTTTTTCTAGAGATAATTAAAAAAGGTCTCAGCCTTCTGGAGTATGCAGAAGGCTTGGCAAATGCTGGCATTGTACTGCTGGATTCAGATCATGAAGGGACAGACAAGGTAACCCTTTGACATTGGGAAATTTTCTGAGTGGGTCTTCTGGAGGCCCCAATATCAAATTTCATCTAATCACTATCTGTCAGCATCAAAACTCCCAAAGTTAGATTACACAGTGGTTTATTAACATCAAATTTTTTTTTTTTATTTTTTTTATTTTTTTTTATTTTTATTTTTTTTTTTTTTTGGTTTTTCGAGACAAGGTTTCTCTGTGTAGCTTTGCGCCTTTCCTGGAACTCACTCTGTAGCCCAGGCTGGCCTCGAACTCACGGAGATCCGCCTGCCTCTGCCTCCCGAGTGCTGGGATTAAAGGCGTGCGCCACCACCGCCCGGCTACATCAAATTTTTATATGCCCATGAGAACAGACAATAGGCACAGAGAGATATTGTATAGTACAAAGAACTTCTGAATTAAATTAGTTTGTATATTTTAAAGATGTATTAACCTAGAATGGAAACTGGGATATGTGTTTCATGGGGAAGAGTTTTTACCTTTGCTTTCACAGGAGAAAAACAGTGGCGAATACCATCAGGATTGATAAAGGTAAGATTTGAATAGGAAGGACCTGCTGAATAAGAAGAGGTGATAGTTCATCAGCTTGGTCATTCAGTCCAAGCTAATATGAAGACTAATAAATGCCTTTCATGTGATCAGACAAGAAAAAATTAAAAAAAAATTTCAACTGATAATTTACCAACAGCACTCTTGTCTTACTGGCATGAAATGAAACATGGGTTTTCTTGTACTACATGTCTCAATTCCATGCTTCAGTGTTAGACTGTGGATTGTAACATGACCCATGACATTTTGGACACCAACTTTTGAGTTTTCTTCTTAAACAAAAAGGATATTTTTATTGTTTGCTGTTAAAAATCACAGTTAAGAGATTTACATTTTTTAAAGTAAGTTCAAAGGGTTACTACAGCTTAAACTGTTTTTCTAAATCTCTCAGAGTTATATTGGGAGCTAAGATGCTTGCGAGAGCAGTGATGGCCCATGCTCTTCATCCCTGCAGAGACAGACAGATCTCTATAGCTTACTTGTTTCTTAAAGGCGTGGTAGTTCACATTTTTAATGCCACTACTCAGGGTCAAAAGTTAGATGCCGTGGTTAAGGGTTATTGTAATCAATCCTCTACAGAATTACTAGTAAGGCAGCTAATTTCCAATATGGACAAGAAAAAAAGAGCAGCTTTTGTGGCTGCCTTTGTGCTCTTCTCTGTGCATGCAACCTTGACCACTGTTTAACCAGATGGTATCCTGATGATAGATATCATATTTATTGCTTAATTGGCATCTATGGACTCTTCATAAAGCAAAAAGAATCCACCTATATTTACCATATGGATTCTATTGTAAACACATTCCATATAAGGAGATAAATATCATCTCAGAAAAAAAAATCTACGTTTTTTTTTTTTTTTGAGGCATAGAGAACCTGATAGTGAAGGCCAACTATCCTATGGTCATCTGGGCACCCCTTACAATGGTGGATTGGATCTCTTCAAAGGCAGAGTCCTCAGCATGGAAGAAAAAGTATTACAGTGGAAATGGTACATATCAGAATTCCTTAGTGACTGGGATATGGTTAGCCCTGAAGAAATAGTTCAGAACCTAAAGTGGTCACTCCTCCTCCAAGAGAGGCAACTATTGAACTGCAGGGACCAACAGAATGGTCAAATCATTTGGCTAAGGCATGGTTTACTGATGGCTCATCAACCATTGATGGATCCCAAACTAATGGAAAGTGTCAACCTCTAGACTTGAGATGGAATGGCCAAGTTTGAGGAAGAAGATATCACAAAATCATTAAACCACAATTGGCTCTAAGACAAACAGCTAAAGGAGGCCATAGGAACATCTGCAGTTCATCGGGCCTGTGCAGTGGCATAGTTATACAGCAATAAAAATGTAAAAGCACTCACTGGCAGATAAATGGCAAAGACACCAGGTCATGGGAGGCATGGATGGAAATGGCACCACTTGGCAAAGAGGACCTATGAGGTGTTGTGAGAGTTTCCATGGTGATCCAGGTGGTCTTATGAGGTTCCTTGAGGTCCCATGACTTCCCATGGTGACCAGTGAGGTCCTGTAGGTTTCTCCAAGG